TCTACAACCAGCCTCACAGAGCTCCAGGTACAGTGACTTGAGTGACAGATGACCACTCTCTCCATTCACCTAGCACTTTGCTTTTGAAAATACAGGTTCTGAGTGGGACATTTTCGCATCACTTGGCCTAAATGCCTCCTATAGACATTCCAGCTCAGGCAGGCCTAACTAAATAGCCAGCATACTCAGTCTCTCACTGGGCAGGAAGTCCTGATGTGTAGGGGATTGATTCAACAACTCAACAAGGAAACATTCTTTTCCTTTCTGTTCCCTTCATCCTGTTGGCTTCATCAGGCTGCTGAAAGAATGGCTGTAGCAATCCTAGGCAGGATTTTAAGATACTAAAACATTCTAGAGGAAAAAGAAAAACCTTATGGCCCAAGGAAAGTTCCAGAAGACCTTTTATCATAATTCCTTGCCTAGTAGTGGGTCATATACCCATTTCTGACCCATCCCCTGGCATGTGAAGGAAGATGCTCCTCAGGCTAGTCATAAAGGAAGAGTGAGGAGTTGACAAGACAAACATGGAGTCCACTACTATCCCGCTAGGCAGAGGTGAGGCAGGCTGGCCTGGGCCCCACCTAATAAGCATTGGCCAAGTCAAGAGTCATACAAATCTATGCTAGTGATGTTTCAGGTGGGCCACTTCACTCACAATGTGAATTGGGCCTTTGATGGATTCAGCCTTGAGGTACATAGTGGAAGAGGCCTTCTAAATGCCTGGAAGGTAAGGTTCTGTAGTTGAGTTAGCTCCTTCAGAGCACCTTGTCCTTTCACAGGGGGCTAAATCTCTCCAGGCCTTGATCAACACTACGGGAATTCACTCGCTGTACTGACTGCTTCTCTAATTGTTTTCAACTTGCCAAGAGATCACACTACAGTTTGGGCCTGACTTGGCTTGTCAGGAAGGATTGTGCTCAGCCATCTCTTGGGTGATTCTGGAGAGAATCTAATCAGTTGTCCACTCTCTTGTCCCCATAGTGATAGTTCTCATTAGCATGTGATGGTCAGGCTTCTCCCTGTCATTTCGTATAAATAGCCTGTGTAATAGGATTTGACTTTCAAACTTAACGTATCACCTTTGGCTGAGGAGGTCTACACCGGCTCGGGGAAGGTTTACTGTGGTTTGTTTCTGAAGCAGGGTCTAGCCAGAGCAGGTTGAACAGCCAAGACAGCAAGATGGCCAGTGGGCTCAGTGGGCTTAATCTTGGTCTGCACCGACAGGAGCAACAGAGACGCCAGTTCTCAGGTGATCCGGTCTCTGCCCTGCAGCAGGCTGCAGTCCTGGAAGCATTTACACTCTGAGCTTCCTGTGGGAGCTGGGCTCCTCTCCTCTGTAAAGGAAACAGCAATGGCTTGTGCCACCTCTGCCCCTTTCCCCCATGTCCAGTGCCATCAATCTGCAAGGGTTTTTTGGGAACGATTTCCTAGGTTCTTGATGTCTTGATTCTGTGTAAAACACAGCATGTCTCCATTGCAGCAGGCGGTTTGTGGATTTTTACTCAGATTCGGGGCAGGAGAGGTCTGGTGTATAGCACAACCAAGGTCCTAGTTGAATATTTAACAGCCCTGTTCTCACACGTGTTGGCTGTTTCTCCTTGGGGATTTCTCACTCAACTGAGCGTCCTTCTGAGGCAGGGTCCTTCCCTCCTTAGAGTGCCCTTATCTACGTGTCTCTGAAACCCCATGATTCTTAATCACTTTATTCTCTGGGCTGATTCCTGCTGTTTCTGCCTTAGCCCATTGGCCCTGGCTGTAGACTTCCTTTCCATGACTAGACTGACCCATCAAAAGTATTTGCTAGATAGACAGAGTTCTCATCTAAAAGAAATTGTGTATTCAGCTCTACAAACTTAGAATTATTCAGGTTTGCGATTGGCAAATTAATGACTCCTGGCCCAAGATGTCCATGTCCTAGTCACTGGAACCTATGGATATGTTAGGGCAAAAAACAAAAGTGAGTTTGGGGTAGCAGATGGAATTATAGTTGCTAATCAGCTGACCTTAAAATAAGATTATCCTGGATTGTCTGAGGGCCCGATGCCAGGTCCTTAACTGTAGAAGAGGGATGCAGAAATGTAGAAGAGGCTTGTACGAAAAACTTGACAAGCTGTTGTTGGTTTTAAGATAAAGGAATGGACCACAAGCCCAGGAATGCAGGTAGCCTCTAGAACTAGAGAAGGCCAGAAAATAGATTCTCCCCCAGAGCCTCCGTCCTCCAGAAGGAATAAAGCCCTGCACACCTTCATTTTGAGGGTAAAGCCCCCTGAGACCTGTTGGACTTAGGACAAATAGATCCACAGGGTGATAAAATTTGTTGATGGAAGCCTCTAAGCTTGTGGTAATCTGTTAAAGCAGCAATAGAAAAGTAATGTAGGTCTCATGCAGAACTTTTCCTTGTTTTTCTTATTTCCTAAAACTCTTAGAATTTTTATTGTTCCATTGTCCTTTGTAATGACAGTAGACTTTATCCCCCATAGGCTGTGGTTTCCAGAAGCTGGCTAATTGATTCAGTAATGGGCTGAGGTAAAACCACAAAAGATCATAGAAAATCTAAGCCTTTGCCTGGACTAGGTGACAGATGGTTCCAAAGCTCCTTTGGTGTAATGCACACTCAACTCAATACGGAAGTCCTAACTCATGTCAATTTAAAAACATTAGGTTACTCAGGCTTGGGAATGAACTCTGTCTAATGTGGGCAGCCTCAGAGTAGGAGAAAGGACTTAAAGCGGGTGATTGTGAATTTGCCAATTGTGTTTCATTTAAATAGTATCTTATAACAGTGGTATATGAAATAATTTTAATGGAGATAATTTTGTGAAATAAAGGTCACGGTAATATTTGAACAGTACCACCATGTTTTCTGAATTTCTGTATGTTTTGTTCAGTAAAGGGGAACAAAAGGGGTACTCTTCAGTATCCACTATTCTTTAATGTAGGATCTTTTCTCAGGCTAGGGGCCGGGGGTTGGTTGGGGGGGTGGGGAAAAATTCACAATTAAGTTGATCAGAAAATCCATAGCATATTCTTTGGTCCTAAACTGTTCGGTAAAAATATGAGTTTAATGTAAATTTATTTTTAAAAATTATTTTAGCCACTTTTACTGAGATTAGCTGTGAACTGTCGTCCTACATTTCACAGCATAAAAATGAAATGTAATTTATGTCCAGTGTGTACCTTCTAAAAGTACTAAAGTTTGGACCACTGTAATCCACAAGTGGATCAAATGGATGCATTTTCCTGAGCACAGACTTCTAGGCTGTGAATCACCACCAATCAATATTAATGCTTTTACTGATTCAGAATAAAATGTCAGTGGAAGCTCATTAGCAGTAATACAAGAATCAGATTCCAGATTCCAAAAATCTGGTGGTAAAAGAGTATAATCACATGCAGTTTAGAATTACGGCTGCAAAGCAAATAGGGCAATATGTTTAGACAAGTTCTTTTATGGATGAAAAGAGTCAGAAGTAATTAAATGAACAGTCATGAACATAAATGTTCCTTTGGGAGGTTTATTCATTTATAGTATACTTTCCATGGAAACCACAGAGGGAATTGCAGATTTGACCTCACTTTCTCTAATCCACCATTGTGTTTTTTTAAATTTACTTTTAATTGAAGTATAGTTGATTGACATACAGTATATTAGTTTTATGTGTACAACATAGTCATTTGACATTTATAATGCTTTAAAAAATATTCGCCACAAAAAATATAATTACCCTCTGTCACTGTACAAAGTTATTACAGTATTATTGACTATATTCCCTATGCTTTACATATATCCCTGGATTTATTTTTAATTGGAAGTTTGTACCTCTTAATCCCCTTTGCCTATTTCCTTCTTCCTCCCATTCCCCTCTCTGGCAACCACCAGTATTTTCTCTGTATTTATGAGTCTTTCTGTTTTTTGTTTGCTCATTTATTTTTTTTATTTCACATGTAAGTGAAATTATATGGTATTTGTCTTTTCCTGACTTATTTCACTTACCATAGTACCCATATGTGTATCCATGTTGTTGATGGCTGAGTAATACTCGTGTGTGTTGTGTGTGTGTGTGTGTGTACGTACATGAGTACACACCAAATTATCAGTGGACATGTAGAATGTATCCGTATCTTGGCTCTTATTGTAAATAATGCTGGGATAAACATAAAGATGCATATTATCTCTTTGAATCAGCATTTTTGTTTTCTTTTTGGTAAACACCCAGAAGTGGATCGTATGGTATCTAATTTTTTGAGCAACCTCTATACTATTTTCCATGGCTGCACCAATTTACATTCCCACCAACAGCACATGGGGGTTCCCTTTTCTCCACATCCTTGCCAACACTTATTTCTTGTCCTTTTTTTTTTTATAGTCAGTCTAACAGGTATGAGGTGATGTCTCATTGTGATTTTCATTTGCATTTCTCTGGTGACAAGTAATGTTGAGCATCTTTTCATGTGTCTGTTGGCCATCTGTATGTCTTTGGAAAAATGTCTAGGTTCTCTGCCCATTTTTAACTGAATTATTTGAGGGGCTTTGGTGTTTAGTTTATGAGGTGTTTTTTTTAATATGTTTTGGATATTAAGTCCTTATCAAATATTTACACATATCTGCTCCCATTCGGTAGATTGCCTTTTCATTTTGTTGATAATTTCCTTTGCTGTGCAAAAGTTCTTTAATTTGATGAAATCTCAGTTATTTTTGTTTATGCTGTCCTTGCCTGAAGAGACAGATCCAGAAAAATACTGCTAAGACCATTGTCTAGGAGTTTACTGCTTAGGTTTTCCTTCAGGAGTTTTATGGTTTCATCTCTTATATAAGTCTTAAATCCATTTTGACTATATTTTTGTATGTGGTGGAAGAAAGTGGTACAGTTTCATTCTTTTGCTGTATCTGTCCGATTCTCCCAACACCATTTATTTTTTAAAGATTTTATTTATTTGTTCATGAGACACAGAGAGAGAGAGAGAGAGAGAGAGAGAGAGAGAGAGAGAGAGAGTGGAGACATAGAGGGAGAAGAAGGCTCCATGCAAGGAGCCCAATGCAGGACTTGAGCCCTGACCTTCGGATCACACTCTAAGCCTAAGGCAGACACTCAACCGCTGAGCCACCCAGGCATCTGCCCAACACCATTTATTGAGGAGACTCTTCCCCACCATTGTTGGATCCTTTGTCATAGATTAATTGACCATATAAGTGTGAGTTTATTTCTGGGCTCTCTGTTCTCTATTGATCTGTGTCTGTTTTTGTTCCAGTACCGTTATCCTTTGATTATTACTGTTTTGTAGTGTAGTTTGAAATCTGGGATTGTGCTACCTCCAGCTTTGTTTTTCTCTCCCAAGATTGCTTTGGCTATTCAGGGTCTTTTGTGATTCCACACAAATTATAGGATTATTTGTTCTAGTTCTGTGGAAAATGCTGTTGGTATTTTGATAGGGATTGCACTGAACCTGTAGATTGCTTTGGGTAGTGTGGCTATTTTAACAAAATTCTTCCAATCCACAAGCATAGTATATCTTTCCATTTATTTATGTGATCTTCAGTTTCTTTCATCAGTATCTTATAATTTTCAGTGTAGTTTTTTCACCTCCTTGGTTAAATTTATTCTTAGGTATGTATGCATTCCAGTGTAATTAACATACAGTGTTATATTAGTTCAGGTGTATGATACTGTGAATCAACAATTCTTACACATTCCTGAGTGCTCCTCATAATAAGTGTACTCTTAATCCCCTTCACCAATTTTCACACATCGCCCCATCTACCTCCCCTCTGGGAACCATCAGTTCTCCATGGTCTAGTTTTTTTGTCTCTTTTTTTCTTTGTTCATTTGTTTTGTTTCTTAAATTGCACATCTGAGTGAAATCATACGGTATTTATCTTTTCTCGGACTGACTGCACTTAGTGTTATACTCCAGATCCATCCATGTTGCATATGGCAAGATTTTCTTCCTTTTTATGGATGAGTAATATTTGAGTGTGTGTCACATCCTCTTTATCCATTCATCTATCAATAGACCTTTGGGCTGCTTGCATTTTAAGCAATTCACGAAAGATATGTATTTATTGCCATTTTGCTTGTTTTATGAAGTTCTTTTCTGTTCCTTCTCTCTTTTCTCACTGTTTGCTGGCTTTTATACTTGGATTCCTTTATTTTTTTGCATATCTAGTATTGATTTTTGATTTGTGGTTACCATTAGGTTTGTATATAACATGTATACATTACATCAGTCTACATTAAGTTGGTAGTCCCTTAAGTTTGAATCCATTATTTACTCCCCCATACACATTTAAAGTTTATAGTGTCATACTTTATATCCTTTTATTTTGTGAATCTCTTGACTGATTTTCATAGATACACTTAATTTTACTACTTTTGTGCTTCCTGCTTTTCTTACTCCTATTTATTGTCCCTCCTTTCCATTCAGAGAGTTCCCTTTAACATTTTTTATATAGCTAGTGTAGTGGTCATGAATTCCTTTATCTTTTGTCTGGGAAACCCTCTTATTCTGAACCATAACCTTGCTGTAAAGCGTATCCTCGGCTGCAGGTTTTTTATTTTTTTATTTTTTATTTTTTTTAATTTTTTATTTATTTATGATCGTCACAGAGAGAGAGAGAGAGGCAGAGACACAGGCAGAGGGAGAAGCAGGCTCCATACACCGGAAGCCCGACGTGGGATTCGATCCCGGGTCTCTAGGATCGCGCCCTGAGCCAAAGGCAGGCGCCAAACCACTGCGCCACCCAGGGATCCCCTGCAGGTTTCATCCTTTCAGCACTTTGAATATATCATGCCACTCCTCTCTGGCGTGTAAACATTTCTGTTGAAAAATCATATAATTGCCTTACAGGGTTTCCCTTGTATGTACTGTTTTCCCTTGTGGCTTTTAAAGTTCTCTTTATTACTACTCTTTGCCATTTTAATTACCATGTGTCTTGGTGTGGACTTCCTTGGGTTGATTTTGTTAGGGGCTCTCTGTGCCTCCTGGATCTGGATTCATTTCCATCCCCAGATTTGGGGAACTTTTCAGCTATTTCCTAAAATAAACTTTCTGCCCCCCTTTGTATTTCTTCTTCTGGGATTCCTGTAATGCAAATATTGTTAGGCTGATAGTGTTGCTGAATTCCCTAAGTATATTTTCATTTTTTTTCTCGTTCTGTTTGATTGTTTTCTATTACTGTCCTCCAAGTCATTGATCTGTTCTACTTCCTGTATTTATTCCATCTAGTGTATTATGCATTTTATTTATTGAGTTCTTTATCTCTGATTAGTTCTTTTTATGTTTTCTCTCTCTTTGTTAAGGGTCTTCCTGAGGTCCTCCACTCTTTAGTCCAGTGAGTATCTTTATAACTATTACTTAAATTATTAATCAGGCATATATATTACTTATCTCCATTATGTTTAGCTCTCTTGCTATGATTTTGTCTTGTTCTTTCATTTGTGACATACACCTTTATCACCTCATTTTGTCTGTGTGTCTCTTTCTATGTGTTAGGAAAGTCAGCTACCTCTTCTGTTCTTGAAAGTAGTGGCCTTATGAAGAAGCGGTCCTGTGGTGTCCTGCAATGTCCCATTTACCAGAATCTGGTGCTTCTGGGGTTTCTACTATGTGTGATGTGAGAGCCCTGTTAACTGTGGCTGAGCTGCTTTTGCCTTCAGTTGTCAGCAGTGGTTGTCTGTTGTGGGCAGGGTTTGGTCTCTGTGTTAGTGGGCAAGTCTTGGGCCACCTCTGGCTTGAGGTGAGCCAGACCAAGGATTTGTCAGAGATGCAGTAGCACTCAACTACAGGCACTTTTCCTTGCATTGACCCCTGAGAAGATTTGTTGGTGGATAGGGCAGGGCCTGCAGTCAGACCAGATGTCTGCTCCTAGCCCATTGCTGAGATCACAGACTAGTGTGTGGGGTTATCTTCCCCTCCCCTGGGGCAGGAGTCACTTTGGAGTGGTGCTGGCACCTGTTGGGGCCACTTGCACATTACCAGGCTTGTGGCACTGCTTTGGATGGGCTCTGGCCAATGGTGCATTGGAAGAAGCAGGTCCATAGAATACCGGAGCACATGGTTGTAGCAGGGTTTGTGCAGGTCTGCTGTGGAAGAGATCTGCAGCTACCTAAAAGTCCTGCCAAGGCTGCCAGGTTGGAGTGGGTAGATCCACAGAAGTGTGGGGCTGGGTGCACAATGTCATCAAGCTACCTGGAAAATGGTGTGCTCTGCTGGTTCCTACAGGTGTCTGTGTATGTTTGGCTCCGGCAGGGGGGAGGGGGATGGCATTCACCAGCTCCCTTGTTCTTGGAGAAGTCTCCCAAGGATCCCTGCCCCTCCAGCAAATGCTGCTGTATTAGTAAACCAATCTCCCTATTGTATATCCCAGGTGTTTCTCAAACTGCTACTTCTATGTTTTATCTCCATGGGGCTGTTTCTTGTATGGTCTACTTAAGGATAGAGTCCATTTCCTATTGTCCTTCCAGAGCTGAGCCCTCCTATTTTTAAAGTCCCAAGCATCAGGCTGCACTGATTGTAAGGACTAGTGGAGTTATGATGCTCCCTGCTTTTCAAAGCTAAATGAAAAGTTGATTTATCTTTCCTGTCTGGGCTCCCCATGCTCGGGGTGAGGACCTCCTCCTTTCCCCTGTCTGTGGCACCCCTCCCTTCTCTGGACAGTCCTGTAGTCAGTTTAGCTCCCATCCGGGTCTCCCCCCCCTTTCCTACCCACTTCAGTGTGGCCTCTCTTCTACATTTAGCTGTGGAGAGTCTTCTCTGCCCTGCGTTCTTCTTTTTAATGAAGTTATAAACAGGGATTTAAAAAATTTCTCCTCCTGCTAGTTCATTATTAGTGTATGGAAATGAAACAGTTTCTGTTTATTAATTCTGTATCTTGCAACTTTTACTGAGTTCATTTATTATTATAGTGGTGTTGGGGTTTTTTTTTTTTGGTTTTGGTTTTTGGTCTCTAGGGTTTTCTGTGTAGCAGGGTTTGTGTAGGTCTGCTCTGGGAAGGGACCTGCAGCCCACCTAAAACTCCCATTGAGACTGCAGATCCCCTCCCATAGCAGACCTGCACAAATTGTGTCACCTGCAAATAGTGACAGTTTTACTACCTTTTAACCAATCTGGATGCCTTTTGTTTTCCTTACATGATTGTTACGGCTCAGACCTCTGTACTGTGTTGAATAAACCTGGGGAGAGCAGACATCTTTATCCTGTACCTGATCTTAGAGGAAAAACCTTCAGCTTTTCATGATGGGGTATGTTAGGCGCTTGGGCTTTTATAATGATGAAGTATGTTCTTTCTATACCCATTGTGTTCAGAGTTATTATCATGAATAGGTGTTGAATTTTGTCAAATTTTCTGCGTCTAATGAGATGATCATTTTTAATTCTTCATTTTGTTAATGTAGTGTGTCACACTGATTTGCAGATACTGAACTATCTTTGCATCCCTGGAATAAATCCATTTGATCTTGGTGAGTAATCCTTTCAATGTTTTGTTGAATTTGGCTTGCTAATATTTTGTTGAGTTTTGCATTGGTGTTGATCAGGGATGTTATTGGCCTATAATTAGCTTTTTTTTCCCTGTAGTATCTTTGTCTGGTTTTGGTATCAGAGTAACGCTGGCCTCATAGAAAATTTGGAAGCATTCATTCCCCTTCAATTTTTTGCAGTAATTGAGGAGGATAGGTATTAACTCTTTAAATGTTTGGCTTCACCTGTGAAGCTATCAGGTCCTAGACTTTTGTTTGTTGGGAGTGTTTTGATTACTCATTCACTGTCATTACTAGTAACAATTCTGTCCAGATTTCCTATTCCTGATTCAGTTTTGGAGATTGTACATTCCTAGTAATTTGTCCATTTCTTCTAGGTTGTCCAGTTTGTTGGCATGCAATTTTTTGTAGTCTCTTACAATTCATATTTCTGTAGTGTCAATTGTAACTTCTCTTCCATGTCTGATTTTGTATATCTGAGGACTCTTTCTCTTGAGTGTGGTTTAAAGGTTTATCAATTTTATCTTTTCAAGAATTCGTTGGTCTTCTGTTATTGGGTTGTTGGTTTGGTTTGGGTCTCTATTTCATGTACTCCCACTCTAATCTTCATTATTTCATTCCTTCTAACGTGACAGCAGTTTTCTCCTGCCTTTAAAGTTTCATTAACTTTGGGCTTGTTTGTTCTTTTTCTAGTTCCTTTAGTTCTAAGGCTAGATTGTGTTAGATTTTTCTTGTTTCTTAAGGTAGGTCTGTATCACCGTAAATTTCCGTCTTAGAACTGCTTTTTCTGTGTCCCAAGATTTTGGAATGTTGTGTTCCCGTTATTTGTCACAAGGTATGTTTTTATCCTTTTTGGTTTCTTCACTGATCCATTGGTTTAGTACCGTGTTGTTCAGCATCAATGTATTTGTGGTTTTTCTGATTTTTAATTTTGATTGCTTGTTCTTGTGGCCTGAAGTGTCTCTTACAGGCATCATATGGATGGGTCTTTTTTTTTTTTTAATCATTCACTCTCTTTTGATTGGAGCATTTAGTACATTTAAAGTAATTATTGAGAAGTAAATACATTTGCCCATGAACAAGGTGGTTAGGGATACCGACTGACCTCCATGCAGTTGAAAACCCACATAGAACTTTTGAGTCCCCCCAAACTTAAGTATTAATAGCTTACCAGAAGCCTTGCTCGGTAACATAAACAGTTGATTAACACATATTTTGTAGAATAGATGTATTACATACTGTATTAAAGTAAGTTAAAAATAGTAAAATCATAAGGAATAGGAAATTGCATGGCTCAGTAGTTGAGCATCTGCCTTCAGCTCAGGTCATGATCCTGGAGTCCCAGGATCATGACCCAAATCGGGCTCCCTGCACGGAGCTTGCTTTTCCCTCTGCCTGTGTCTCTGCCTCTCTGTCTCTCATGAATAAATAAATATTTTTTAAAAATCATATGGAATAGAAAACATTTACAGTATTGTACTTCTTGAAAATAATCCATGTGGAGTTCAAATATATGCTGTTCAAGGGTCAACTGTACTTCCATTTTAATTGTTTTCTGGTTGTCTTTATTCTTTTCTGTTCTCTCTTGTTTGATGACTTTCAGGCTTGGATTCTTTCATATTTTTTGTGTATCTATTAGGTTTTTGGTGTTTGGTTACCATGCGAGGTTCATATATAACAATGTATATAGCATTTATTTTAATGGTCACTTAAGTTTGAACATATTCTAAATGCATTACATTTTTACTGTTCTCCCCTTCCACATTTTATGTATTTGGTGTCATACTTTACATCTTTTTATTTTGTGTATCTCTTAACTTATTATTGTAGATATAATTGATGATACTACTTTTGTCTTTTAACCTTCATACTATTATAAATGATCTACCTTTATTGTATGTTTATTCTTACCAATGAAATTTTTTCTTTCATCATTTTCATCTAGTTACGTCCTTTTACACTTAAAGTCCCTTTAACATTTCCTGTAAGGATGGTTTAGTGGTGATGAACTCTTTTGTTTGGGAAACTATTTCTCCTGCAATTCTGAATGATAATCTTGGCAGGTATTCTTGGCTGTAGGTTTTTTCTTTTCAGCACTTTGAATAGATCAGACCATTCCTTTCTGGCCTGCATAGTTTTTGCTGAAAAATCTGTTGATAGCCTTGTGGGAGTTTCCTTTGTATATTATTGCTTTTCTCCTGCCTTTAAAGTTTCATTAATTTTTGACATTGTAACTACAGTTGACCCCTAAACAGTGCAGGGGTTAGGGGCACTAATCCCCCTGTGCAGTTAGAAATCCACATATAACTTCTGACTCCCCCCAAATTTAACTACTAATAGCTTACTGGTGACCAGAAGCCTTAAACAGCTGATTGACACATATTTTGTTATATGTATCACATACTGTATTCTCACAATAAAGCTAGAGAAAATATAGTTCTGTACTGTATAGAAAAAACACATGTAAGTGGATCTGTGTTGTTCCAGAGCCAAATGTATGTCTTGCTGTGGACCTCTTTGGATTTATTGTTTGAGGCTTTCTGTGCTTCCTGGTGCTAGGTATTTCCTTCTCTAGGTTATAGTGATCTGTTATTCAAGTAATTTTCTGCCTCTTTTTCTCTCTTTTCTGGTATGCTTGTAGTACAAATGTTAATATGCTTGATGATGTCCCGGAAGTTTCTTGTTCTATTATTATTTTTATTTTTTTGCTGTTTACCTTGATTTCTAATACCCTGTGTTCCAGATTGCTGATTCATTTTTCTGCACCCTCTGATTTGATGTTGATTCGCTAGAAGGTGATTTTTTCATTTATTATATTCAGCTCTCATTGGTCCTTTTTTATATTTTCTAGCTCTTTGTTAAAGTCCTCACTGAATTCAAGTCCACCTAGCATCTTTATGATAGGTGGTTACTTTGAACTCTTATCAGGTAGATTGTTTATCTCTGGTTCTTTTTTGAGGTTTTGTTTTGGTTGTTTGGAACATACTCCATGTTTATATGTATTAGATCAGCTACATCTAGTCTTGAAGGTAGTGGCCTAATGTGGAAGGCATCCTGTGGGGCCAGTACTACAGTCTGCCCCGGCCACCAGAAGCAGGTGCTCCAGACATGTCCCCTGTGTGGCTTGTTTGGGCACTGATGGGTGGGGTTAGCCCCTGGCAAGACTGGCAGTGAGGCTTGGCCACAGCTGCTATGAGCACTGGTGGGCAGGAGTTGTGCCTTTTGGGAAGGTGGGTCCTAAGGGAAATGCCTGGGCAGTGCCAATGGTGCTAGCAGGGTAGATAGAAAGTGCCAGAACTGGTACCCACCAGTGTTGGACCAGGTAGGCTAAAAGAGGGCAGGAAAGTTGGACCGGTGAACTCTTTCCTTCCCAGAGAAAATTCCTACACATTGTTGCCCCTAGCACACGCCTGAAAATTAGTAAATATCCTTCATGTATACATAACCCAGGCTCTTTTCAAACTGCTGCCTCGGTGCTGGATCTCAGAGTGATGAAGAGTAAAGCCTCAGTTTTCTATAGCCTTCTGGCTCTCCCAGAGGTAAGCCCCACAGATTTCCACAACTAGACAATATGGGCACTCATCTTCCTGGTGCATACCCCACCCAGTGACAGGCTTGACCACACTCTGCCCCTCCTGCCCTTCTCACTGCAGCTTTTTGTGTCTAGTTGTATAAGAGCTGTTCTGCTAAGTCTTTGGGTCATTTTCTCAGTGAGTTGCATGTTGTGTAGTTGCATCACTGGTGTGTCCGTGGGAGGAGGTTAATTCAGGGCCTTCTTACTCTGCCATCTTCCCAGGAGTTCCTGTGGGTGCCCTGGGGTCACCTGCTCATGGTGCTTGTGCATAACACGTTACATACAGTAGCTGTGCACCTTCTGCTGTGTGGTCCTGCGGTGCCCACGTGTGCCTGAGCCATGGCACCCACATCTTCTGTGTTGGTGAGAGCTAGGTATATACCAGTATATTCTAAGTCCTGTCAAGAGCTGCTTTTGATAGAAAAGTTAATTGAACCATCTACTTTTTATAAATCTGTGGTGGTTTAGGCAACATTCCAGACTTGAGGCCCTCAAATTAGGGGACAGTGGCTCTTTAAAAGTAAACACCTTTTCAAGGTTCTTTTCCTAATTAAAAAAATAAAAAGTACACACATGTGACAGATGTTACTTGGATTTTTGTTTCTCAATAAAGGCCAGTCTGAAGGCCACTTGTGCACAGACACTGCTACTCTTAGGAACAAGATTGGATTTTAACGCTCTGACAATTCCTCCTCCACTGTCGCAAAAATTTGGGTAGAGGCCAAAGCTTAAACCAATTTGTGTATGTAAAAATAAAACAAAAAAAGCAAGGCAGGTCTTTCTGGACTTGGCTTCAAAGCACCAGTCAGGTCCTTGTTTGCAGAGGAAGCCTGAGGGCCAGCTCAGTCAGATGACCCATATCTGGTTGTTTGCTTCGCTTCTTGATGTATTCCAGAGTTTTCACCTAGGAGGAAAAAGAACTATCAGAATCCTTTCTGGTTCATCAAGATACCAACCAATCAACCATATTGTGAGCTTATGCTTTCTTACAGCTGAAGTCTTTTGATGGAGAAAGGAGGAGGAAAAAACCAACTAAGTCTTTAAGTAAAACTTCTTAGATTACAATTTGCTTATAAACTCAGATTTTGGTGTGATCAGGAATCACTGATACTTTTATATACAAGAAAAAGAAGAGGGAGAGACTGGATTCGTTCAGGCCAGTTGTACTCTGGCCACTGGGTTTATGTGGCTCACCAGGACCCCCATGCCTCCAGCATGCCTTACCATGGTCCTGGTATCTGCACAGCCATGCCTCTGTGCCAGGTGCCACAGGTTGACAGAGAGCTGGTTGAGTCTGTTGTTGCGCAGGTCCCCGTGGGCCAAGATGCTATTAAAGAAGGAAAGGCCCAGTGAGCTCTGGCGCTTGAGAGCCTGAAAAAGAAGAGAGAGACTACTATCTGGCAGTGGGGCTCATGTGGGGCTGCACCCAGTGTTGATGCTGGCTCTACCAGGGACCTTCTGGAGGGTAAGCTGCTTAACCTCCCAAGTCCCGCCTTCAGCTGTAGGAGAGTAAGGAAATGCCCTCATAGGGTGAGGACTGAATGAGATGAGGCATATAAAATCCTTCTTTCTGGGCAGCCCAGGTGGCTCAGCGGTTTAGCGCCTGCCTTCGGCCCAGGGCGTGATCCTGGGGACCTGGAATCGAGTCCCACGTTGGGCTTCCCGCATGGAGCCTGCTTCTCCCTCTGCCTGTGTCTCTGCCTCTCTCTGTCTCTCATGAATAAATAAATAAAATCTTAAAAAAAAAAAAAAACCTTCGTTCTGTGCCTCCCACATGGGTATTACTGAAATGGAAGAAGTGATACTTTCATGAGATTCCACACATGGCAAGGTAAAGGAACAAAGTGACAGGGCTTCTTGCAAGTACAGATGAAAACTGAAAGGCTACAAGAAAATGTCTTTCTGGTATGTCCTCAAGCCACCCAAAGTTAGTCCAGCAACCAAAGGGCAGGAATAAAGACCAAATGACAGCTCCCCATAGACAACACTCCCCAGTGCTTGGGGGCCAGGCCCAGGTTTCATAAGAACTTAATACCAAGTCTCACCTCTGATTAGAGGTACCTAAAACAGGAATGTCTAACCACAAGGTCTGGGTAGACCAAACCTGAATATTAAATACCAGGCCTAGGAGAAAGGATACAAGTTCCAAAAGACAAACAGAGGCATGCGGGAAGGCCAAGTGAACCAGGGGGCCTAACCAGGGAGCCAGGTTCTGTCACAAGTCCATGGGGACCCCGGAGAGCTAACGACCTGGGCCCTTGCTAGATGCCCATGGCTCACAATGCAAGAACATCAGTGAGTCCAGCAAAGCATCTGCTTTCCTCCCTGGCAGCTAATGAGAAAGAGGCCTTTAAAGTGGGCCAGGTATTCTGAGCTCACAGCTCATTTTATCTAATCTACATGGCAAATCTTTGTGGGAAGCACATTTCTAGCCAGCTTAGGCACATGGTAGGCACATCTGTAGCACTGTCTCCCAGGATCCCAACCCCTGGTTAGTCAAGCACTATGCTGGGTGCTGGGGTGAAGGGGCTTTGCAGATGTAATTAAAGTTGTGGACCTTGGAGAATTCTGGATTATCTGGGTGGGCCCAGTCTAATCTCTTGAGCCCTAAAAGGCAGAGAAATTTCTGAGAGACCAGGAACAGAAGAGGATGCAGAAGTGGGCCAAAAGCCAAGAAATGGCAGGCAACTTCTAGACACTAAGAACAACCTGCAGCCAACAGGCAGCAAGGAAACAGGACCTCAGTCCTACTGGATGAAACTCAAGTCTGCCAGTACTCTAAAGAAGCCAGCCAGTCAACACTTTGGTTTTGACTTTATGAAGCCTTGCCAGTGCCAACTCACCAAACCGAAATAATAAATACTCTTGAGTTTGCAGCAGCTTTTTTTAAGGCTGCAAGAGGAATCCAATCTGCTCCCATTTTGCAGAAGCAGTCAAAGCTCAGAAAGCTTTGGGGAACTTGCTCACGGACCACTGCTACTAAGTACAAAAGCAGGGATTTGAGCTCCAGTCTTCTGACCCCAGAGCCTGTGCCCTCCCCCACTCTAGCTGATATTCCCATAGACCCAGTGTTAGCATCACATTAGGAGTCCAAATTCTGAAGAGGCTAAGAGTTCCTTTTCTCAACTATTCAAGAGGGACAAAACCAACCTACCAACGATCTGTCCATCCGTTCCACAAATATTCACAGGAGCCAGACTCTGCTAACTGCTGAACCAACTTAATCCCTCCTGCTGTCCTCTGCCAAGTGAGAATTTAAAACTTCTTGGTGGAGAAAAAAAAAACAAACTGCCAGGGAGCAGCTCAGAGCACAGCTGAGTAAGGTGGCTGAGTGGCACTGAAGAGACCTCCACTGGATGCCCAGTTGAGCCTGCCTGTCACAGAAGCAGCCGAGCTGACTGAACATTACCATCCGGTCAAGGACTGGGGTCATGCTGTGCAGCGCCCAAGCCTCCAGGCACTGGGGGGAAAGCGGCCCCCCTGTCTGGCACAGACTCATTAAGTGGCTGGCAAATGCCTGCTTGGGGTCCTTTATCTAATCAGACAATACGGTGGTTCTACCCCAACCAGGAACCCGGGCAGAGATGACCATTCAGTGGGTCCCAGCCCAACCTGCTGCTGCCTGCCTTTTAAGCTGGCCCTTGTCTGACAGCTGGGACAACAGGAGGAGGGTGCGTTTTCTGCTTCTATCTACAGGACAAAGCTAAAATAAATTCTATTTCAAATACAACTAAGAGTCTCCCCTGAGAGAAGTCCTTTAACTACATTTCATTGAAGTGGGAGAGATGGTTTGAAAGAGAAGCGAGACAATATCTGAACTAGCTATTTCTCCCCTCTGTATCTTCTCAGTAAGCATTTTACCCTAAAAAGCTCAATCCACATGTTTCAGATGCAAGGCCCATTAAAAGTGAAATCATTAGAGAGACAGATCTGAGGGGTGAGAAGTCATGCCAGCCAACAGGCGAAGACCCAAAAAACCCACAAACACATTATAAGAACCAAATCAGGGCCTTAAGCCCCTCCTCTTCCCCAGAGGTTTTAAATAGAAAAGAACTTCTTTTCATTCTTTTCCTATGAGAACTCTCATTTCCAGGAAGCTCCACGGGTCTGGCATGATTCCCAGCCTCACCACACCCAAACAAACAACTTCCTAAAGCTCATGAGTAAACTGGCTAGCGCCTTCCTTCATGTAGATTTAGAGGAAAGTTTTGGAAGCAGGGGTGCTAGCAGCACCAAGAGATGACCCACTCAGGACTGGCATCCACACTGGGGTTTTTCAATAGCCTGAAGCTTTGCTCTCCACCTGGTAGAGCAATCTGATCCCTTCTTCCCAGGTACCAGACCCAGTGATTCTGTCTGCAGGACCCCCACCATGACATGCCTGCCTATGCTGACTTTCACGTTGCATTGTTAAAATGAAGGATGGTATGTTCCATTTTAGCTCGGTCCACCCTTATTTTTCTAATAAGTGTGTGTATATGGAAGGACATTTTCACCAAATGTTCCTGGTATTTATGTGAGCTGAAATGTTCTTTGGAAGAATTCCAACTTTGCTATTTTTTCAGAATCCTATTTCAGAGTCCTTATTGGAATCAATGCCCCCTCCCCCAAGAGAAAAAGATACATTAAATACAATTACAGCAGTGTCCCCCCATAGCTGCAAAAATATGTTCCAAGACTCCCAGAAAATGCCTGAAACCATAGACAGAACTGAACCTTTTATGTACTGTTTTTTCCTATATATAACATACCTCTGATAGTTTATAAGTTAGGTGCAGTAAGAAATTAACAAAATAGAATTGTATACCATAATAAAAGTTCTGTTAATGTGGTGTCTTAAAAGACTACTGTACTGGGGCACCTGAGTGGCTCAGTGGATGAGCATCTGCCTTTGGCTCAGGTCATGATCCCGGGGTCCTGGGATTGTGTCCCAGATCAGAGTCCCCACAGGGAGCCTGCTTCTCCCTCTGCCTATGTCTCTGCCTCTTTCTGTGTGTCTCAAGAGTAAATAAACACAATTTAAAAAAAAATAAAGCTACTGTACTCTTCTTATGATGATGATGTGATAAAATGCCTATGTGACATGAGGTAAATGAAGAAGGCACGGTGGCCTAGCATTAGGCTCTTGACCCGATCAGACGTCAGGGGTGGTAGTTGGCCCCAGGCAACAAACTCTGCATGGTGGCAGGGTGGAGGGTTACAACTACTAGAATACTTCTCGGCTTTATTTTTATCGAGAGCTTGAGGGTTGTTCTAGGCTATGGTCATTTATGCTGTAAGCAGCCACCTCTGATTAAACCCAGACTGTTGCATCAGGGTAAAGAAATGTATGTCCAAGCCATGTAGCAAATTTTTCTTGGGTATAACCTGGTAAACACACAGTACTGCTCTACGAGGTCCCTGGGCTAGAAATAGAGCCAGAACCCATGGTTTTAAAGATCAGGAAAAGGCTGGGGCACGGTGGGTGGCTCATTCAGTTAACCATCTGCCTTCGGCTCAGGTCATGATCCCAAGGTCCTAGGATCAAGCCCTGCATCAAGCTCCCCACTCAGTGGGGAGTCTGCTTCTCCTTCTGCCTGTGTCTCTGCCTGCCTCTCTCTCTTTCTCTCTCTCATGAATAAATAAAATCTTTAAAAAATAAAAATCAGGAAAAGGCGCCTAAAAAGAATGTTTCACGGCAGAGGAGCAGAAAGGGACCTGATTACATAGCAAGAGCGCACTGAAGGTAAAGGACTCCATTTCTCCTGTAGGGTAGAAAGAGCTCTCTCCTGAAAACCACCAGTAGGCAAAGACAAAAGCTGGGCTTTCAGTCCTGAGTCTGCATGTGTTTGAAAAAGGCCTTTCAGTTGGGGGAGAATTGCCTCTTCTGATACTTACTGGTTTGATAAACCAGTTTCCCTAAAGAAATTGGGGTTCTAATTCTGCCCTGAACTCTGACAGCCAGCCACCCAGAGTTCTGCAGCCCTGCATCCAGAACGGTCCCGATTGGTGAGACACACCAACACATGCTCCCTCCCTAGAGAGGGTGCTGTGATGCATGTGGGACCTACTGCTAACCCTAAGGCTGGCCCTGAACTTGGCAGGGGCCACTGGAGGATGGAGTCCAGAAAAAAAAACCTCTCTCTCCAGCACCTGCTTGGAATACCCTGGGGATGATGGGACCCAGAATACTTACGTATGTCATACAGGTGACACCCACAGCTATACAATACTCTTGTGCATTTCTCGTGGGGAAGGGGGTAAACACAATGGTGGTATTTCATATAGCCCCGGAAGTGAGCATGAATTAAACTTAAAATCCAGTTTGATCTTATTGGGTCTTCAAAGGGTTTGATGGGGTGGGGATATAGGAGCAAATCCAGGGAAGGGAAGAGATGGAGGCCTTGGGCTGGAAGGGGAAGGCTGGAAAGATACTGGGAAACAATCCAAAATCTGCCCCAGGTTTGGGAAAGGGGATTGAAGTAGAAGAGAATGGAGCCTGCCAGGACGAAATCAGGAATGAGCCATAAGGTTGTCTCTTGCCAGGTGGGAATGAAGAGCAAGACCCAGGGGAGCACGTAGAGGAAGAAACAAATTCAGGCACCAGCTGACCCACGGAAAGAATGCAGAGAAAGGTCAGGCGCCAGCTTTAACTCCTTAAGGCACAGACAACCTCCATCCCCTTCCCAGAGGCCCCGACTACACAACAGCAATCAGCCTAAACACACCACCAGAGATAAGCCTAGGTCTGAACAACTAACCGCCTTGACCAACCCTGAGGCAGGGCCTCTGGGGTCCATCTGTCACCCACCTGTTTGGGCTGAAGCTACAAAAAAAGGGAAGCAGTAGTTGGCATAACTGGGGAAGAGAACCAAGTAGGTATGTAGACTGCACTAAATGGACATTAAGATTAATCATCTATTTGGAGAATATGGAAAAACTGCTCTGAAAACATAAAAGATACAACATCTGACATCTCCATGTAATTTGTGCCTAAGAACATGGGTTTTAGAAGATGGCCTTGACCACATTTCACAGCTACCACCCGAGAATTGTCTCCCTATCCGTACTACGTAAAGGCACAGCTATTCCCGTCTCACGAGTCTGTTGTGAGAATTAAGTGAAATGATAAACGCAAAGTCCTCAGTGCTACACTCACGTATAACAAAGGCTGGAGAAACAACCTGCACCCTGGTGGGACAGTTACCACATGCCACTTCTTATAAGGGAAGCGGAAAAGCTTTGGTTGAACAGACCAATGCAGTGGTTCAAAGTTCGGGCTGGAGAATCCCGTTCTTCACCAAAGGAAACCCAGGGCAGTGGAGAAACCTCTCTGAGCCTCAGTTTCCTTTTCTGTCCAGTGAGAATCAACACAGCACTTGCATCTCAGGCTGGTTGTGGGCATGAACACTAAGGTGTGCAAAGCACAGGCAGTTTATCCCGCAGGTATTGATCAAGCACCTGCTGTATGCTAGGCTCTGTTCAGGGTGTGGGGATGCTGTGATGAGTGACGCATGAACCCCAGAGACAGGGTGGTCTCCAAGACTCACGTTGCAAGGTGCCAACCCCCAGGGAGCTTACATTCTGGTGGGAGAGGCAAACGACTGAAACACACAGGACATTTCAGAGAGTGGCCAAATAGAAGGAGCAAAAGCCCTGGATGGAGCGCTCAGTAATCACTCTGCACATAAACACATCACCCACATGAACAAGTTTCCTTTCCAGAATGGACCAATGTCCAACCACCCCGGAAACTCGCGTATTGAGAAAGAGCAGCAGCGGGGGGAGGGGGAGGGACAGACACAGGGCACCTACCTCATCCTTGGCCAAGGTTTTCAGATGCTCCAGGATCTGAGCCATCACCGTCTCACACAGCTTGTTGTTTTCAGCCAGGAACTTGGAGTCTCCCCCGTAGAGGCTGTCATTGGAGTCAACTGAGAGAACAAACCAGAGCAGTGAGCAAAATGGAGCCTATTATACAATCAGAAAAAGGAATGTATGGGGATCCCTGGGTGGCTCAGCGGTTTGGCGCCTGCCTTTGGCCCAGGGTGCAATCCTGGAGTCCCGGGATGGAGTCCCACGTCAGGCTCCCGGCATGGAGCCTGCTTCTCCCTCCTCCTGTGTCTCTGCCTCGCTCTCTCTCTCCGTCTCTATCATAAATAATAAATAAATAATAAATAAATAAATAAATAAATAAATAAATAAATAAATAAATAAATAAATAAATAAATGATCTTAAAAAAAGAAGGAATGTAATTCTGATACATGTTAAAACATGGATGAATAGTGAACACTTTATAAGTGAAATACACCAGGCACAAAAGGAAAAATGCTGCATGATTCCTCTTGTACAGGGCACTAGAACAGGCACCTTTGTAGAAGGAAGCAGAGTGGAGGTCATGCGGGCTAGGTAGGGGGAAGGAGAGGGAATAGGAAGTCACTGTTTATTGGGTACAGAGTTGTTGGGATGATGAAAAAATTTTGGAAATGGGTACTGGTGATAGCTGCCTAACACTGAATATACTTGAGGAAGATGAATTATGCACTTAAAAATAATTAAAACAGGGATCCCTGGGTGGCGCAGTGGTTTAGCGCCTGCCTTTGGCCCAGGGCGCGGTCCTGGAGACCTGGGATCGAATCCCATGTCAGGCTCCCGGTCCATGAAGCCTGCTTCTCCCTCTGCCTGTGTCTCTGCCTCTCTCTCTCTCTCTCTGTGCGACTATCATAAACAAAAAAATAAAAAAAAATCTATAAAAAAAATAATTAAAACGGTAAATTTTATTTTATCACTGTGTGTGTTACCAATTATTTAAAACTAAAAAAAAAAAAAAAAAAAAGCTTCAGTACAAAAAGTCCATATCTTTGACTTGGGGAAACTACTCCAAGGTATTTAAGAAAATAATCCAATGGGGGTGGCTGGATGGCTCAGTCGGTTAAGCATCTCACTCGGTTTTGGCTCAGGTCGTGATCTCCAGGTAGTGAGATCGAGCCTTGTATTGGGCTCTGTGCTCAGCAGGGAGTCTGCCTGAGGATTTCTCCCCCTCTCCCTTTGCCCCTCCCCTCAGATAATCTCTCTCTCCCTAAAATAAATAAGACTTAAAAAAAATAAGAAAAATAAATGCTCTGTTACAGTATTAAATACTAGGAGGACAATAAAAATGTATGATCTACAGTTATTAACTACCATAGACTACACTATACTAGTATTACACTATATTATTAGTAAAATAATTACAAGATACTATTAATTTTTAAAAAGTGACAAATTAATCGGAGAAAGACAAACATTTTATGGTCTCATTCATTTGGGGAATATAAAAAAATAGTGAAAGGGAATAAAGGGGAAAGGAGAAAAAAATGAGTGGGAAATATCAGAAAGGGAGACAGAACATGAGAGGCTCCTAACGGAAACGAACAAGGGGTGGTGGAAGGGGAGGTGGGCAGGGGGGGACTGGGTGACAGGCTCTGAGGGGGCACTTGATGGATGAGCACTGAGTGTTATTCTATATGTTGGCAAATTAAACACCAATAAAAAATAAATTTATAAAAAATAAAAAATAGACAAATTTTTAAGTAAAATTTTAAGTGACAATTTTTAAAAAGTGACAAAAGTATCCATAGTAGAGCCCCGTGTGTGTCGTGTGTGTGTGTGTGTGTGTGTCACACAGGTATGTGTACATCTATATTTCCTAATTTATAGCTGCTTAAGAACCAATTTTAATTTCAAAAAATTTTATTTCATTATTTCCTGTCATCTGTCTTAAATCTTTTTTTTTTTAAGATTTTATTTATTTAATCATGACAGAGAGAGAGAGAGAGAGGCAGAGGGAGAAGCAGGCTCCATGCAGGAAGCCCGATGTGGGACTTGATCCCAGGACTCCAGGATCACACCTCAGGCTGAAGGTGGTGCCAAACTGCTGGGCCATCGGGGCTGCCCTGTCTTAAATCTTTCAGAGAGGGCACCTGAGTGGCTCGGTGTTTGAGTATCTGGCTTTGGCTCAGGTCATGACCCCGAGGTCCTGGGATCAAATCCTGCATCGGGCTCCCTGCAGGGAGTCTGCTTCTCCCTCTGCCTGTGTCTCTCATGAATAAATAAGATCTTAAAAAATTAAAAAAAAGCCTTTGAGAGAATGGGACAGGTGTAAGCACACACTAATTAATTGATAAAATACTATTTTAGAGATACTTTATGAACATTTCTAGTTGCTATCTCAAGAATAACAACTCCTATTCTTCTTATTTTGAGAACTAGCAAGAGAAGCAGGGAGAGCAGGCCATTGAATAGCTTGCCTGTCTCCCCTAGAGACACCATTTTGCTACTTTTGTGCAAGCTCTCACCTGCAGACCCCGCAACACACACATACAAACACGTACACACGTGACCGGGTTTTCTGGCTGAACCATTTGTAAAAAGATTGCAGACATGCTGCCTAAGAATAAGAATGGCGGCTCCCCGGCAGTCTCCTTCCCCCCAGCTTCTCCGTCCAGAGGTGATCTCTAATCCAGTTCTGAACGGCCCGTTTATGGGATGGTGTGTCAACTGAGAATGACAGCCATTCTCTTCAAGAATGTAAAACACTAGGATTCTGGTAAAGGAATGTAATGCGGCCGTTCAGCACCACCTGAGTTTGCAGGGCGGCAAAACTGCAGCTGGCGAAGGAATGTCTCACATCCACTGCCGAGGACCAGAATAGTTCCTGGCAGAAATTCTCCGGCTTGCTCCGGGTTGGAATCTACTCTCTAGCTGATTAGCTCAGCCCTGGAAGAGAGAAGCTCTAAGACTGCCCCCTGGCCAACACACCCCAGGCTTCTTCCTCCCCCGAGGGGCCAGGGCTGGGTTCGGAGCAGGTTGCTCACTTGCTCGTGAGCACATGCACGCGCACACACACCCCGCGCCTCCTGGCTGAGGGCCCGCTCCGCACCAGATTCCATGCTAGGAGCTGGGGACCCATGGGGGGCAAGGCTGATTTGGTCTCTGCCTCACAGAGCTCACAGGATGTGGGATGAAGGTGGTACAAGGGGTCATGGGATCCTAAAGTCTAGGCTTGGGATGGAACTCAGGAAAAGAGCCAGATCAGGCTGCGCTCGACAGGTTGAATTCACTAGATAACGTGGAAAAAGGGACTGGAGAGGTGGAGGGCAGTATGAGTCCTCCAGGCTAACACTTGGTGGTGATGGAGGGAGGAAAAGGTAAACTTGAGCCTGGAAGGAAGTTGGGTCAGACCAGTGTGTGCAGAGGCCCTGAGTCCAGCCGCAGCTCTCACCAGGGAGATAAATAACATCCCTGGCAAGTGGCCACTAAGAATAGCCCACAATCCCTGCATCTGTCTGCCCCTGGGATCACGACCCTCAATCCTCTAAGGGCCTGGCAGGTGGCGTGGAGGAGCCAACAGGTTACACTGGCTTCACGGGGGTGGGGTGGGGGATCCTGGGTTGTGGTCTTCCCCCTACATCTAAGCCATCCTCATATGAGGTGAACATTCAGCACACAGGAAGCTCTCCCTTCCACATCAGATGTGCCCCCTTTCTTGTGTGCTCCATGAAAGCACTGGCGTTCTTGCTCTAGGCGATTTCACAAAGCCATCTTAATAATCGAGAAAGTAGAAAAGGCATCCTCTATAAATGCAAAGAAACTGTGACCCTAGTTTTTCAGAAGTTCTAACCTGTGTCAACACTAAAAGGCTGCCTAAAACAAGAAAGAGATGGGAAAATAAAGCCTCCTTTGGTCCCCTGGGGCTCCCTCCTGCTAAGACAATTGTCAGGTCACAATTGTGCACCCAGAGTAAACACAGCTGGGCCAAGAAAGGAAAAAAAAAACCCTACCCATCCTTCCATTTTCTTCTCTAAAAGCTAGAAATCTAGACTCCTGCCTATCAAACATAGTCACGGCTCCCGTTGCTAACACCCTGGCTCCCCATCTGCCCTGACTGTATAGCTTAGAGGGTTAAATGAATCTGCTGGGGAAGAAGAGGGAGGAGAGGGCAGGACACAGGAGGGGGCTTGCCCCGCTAGCAGGGCCTGAGGTTTGCAGACGTACTTCCATGTCAGTGCCTGGTCCTCACAGGTCTCTCTACTATTAATTGCCCTCAATGAGCATTTGGCAAAAAAGAGGAAATAAAAATGCCAACAAATACAGGAAAAGTACTCAATCACATTAGCTACCAGAGAAATGCAAATTACAGTCCTCAGAACAGCCAAAGTGAAAAAGACTGACCACAGGGAAAGAATAAAGAGAACCCTCCTTCATGCTTGGTGGGGGGGTGGGGTGTCAACTGGCCCAGCCATTCTGGAAAACTGAGACAGTATCTACCAGAGCTGAACAGAAGCAAATCCCACGAGCCACAAACTCCAGCTGCAGGCAGAGAGCCAACGGAAATGTACACCAGGAACATGCATTAGAATGTTCACGGCCACACTCCTCTGTATTTTGTTTTGTTTTGTTTTGTTTGTTTTTTTCACACTCCTCTGTATTATACAGCCAGAACCAGACCACTGGAAACATGAAAATGTTTGTCCATAAGGGAATGAAGGAATCTGGTATAGTCACAATGGAATACTATACGGTACCGCAAAAGGACGGACTTCAGCTATGCACAACACAGATGAAGCTCACGTGGAAAACACTAAGTAGAAGAAGCTAGACACCAAAGAAAGCATGCTGATGATTTCATTTATCATGAAAGTAAAAAAATGTACAAACTAATGCGTGATGCTGGACGTCAGGAAAGAGGTGGTGCTAATTGGAAGTGGGCGTGATCTGGGTGGGGGCTCCGTGGGTGTGTTCAAGGTATGAGGAGTCACTGAGCTTTACAGCTGATGGTATGTATATAATATGTTATACTTTAAAATGTTATTTTGTCATCAAGAGGGCAGCATGACACATGCCCCACAGTTCTGGGTGCAAATTCTACTTCCACCGCAAACTGGCCACAGGACCTTGAGTCAAATACAGTGTCTCTGAGTCTTCCCTTGCTCGAATGTAACCTGGGGATGCACGTGCCTGTCTTCTACTCTACAATGCCATAAGGGATATAGGAGGAAGATCGCGGAGCCTGATGCCGTACCTGGCATGCAGGTGGAGCTCGAGTCATGGAAGCTGTCGTCATGGACATCAACCAGCCTCCCTGGTACATCTTAACTATTAGCCTCCAAATCCCAGCTAGAGGAAGTCTCTAGGAACCATAGCAGGAGGTCCTCCCTTAGCACTGCATTTTTTAAAAATTTTTATTTATTTATGATAGTCACAGAGAGAGAGAGAGAGAGAGAGAGAGAGAGAGAGAGAGAGACATAGGCAGAGGAAGAAGCAGGCTCCATGCACCGGGAGCCCGATGTGGGATTTGATCCCGGGTCTCCAGGATCGCGCCCTGGGCCAAAGGCGGGCACCAAACCGCTGCGCCACCTAGGGATCCCAGCACTGCATATTTTGATGAAATTTCAGCTTCCTGAAATTTCCAAGTGTAGAGACAGTTGCTTAAACCCTAAAGTATGTAATTACTCGCCAAAGCACTTTTAACAATAGGGCCATTTTTTGGGAAACCAATAATTAGAACTGAGGGTCTGACAAGCAGGTGGATGCTCGGGCTCAGCAGGCAGAGGTCTGGAACTGGGACTGTCCTGTGTTATGTGCAGGATAGCAGAAGTTCGCTTTCAAATTCCTAGCAGCAAGCCCACAATGACTGGTAGCATGTCGCGGAGCAAGGCTGCCTCCTTCCTCCTGAGCATCTGAACTAGTAGTTCATGTAGTCTCAGCCTCACTTGAAGAAGGCTCTACCCACTTGGGTAGAGTCCCACCTGACATTGTGATTAGGGGGCAGGCCCGGGATGAAGCTTGGCATGGATGTATTTAACCACCTTTCTAGGTTATTCTATAGCACACCAGAGAGCCCAGATCCTAAAGAGTGCTTCTCTAAACGTGTCTGATTGTCAAGATGATTATGTCATAGACAAAATTCTCAGGCCTCTTCTTGGGGATCCTGATTGAGAAGGGGTAGGATGGCACTTAGGAATCTGCTCAGGTAATTCTTATTTGGGCACATTTAACAAGGCCCTGGATTAGAGATGTTCCTGGTGGGCAAGAAAACTAGAGGATTATGTGAAAGACAATAAAAAAATTTCACTGGACTTATATGAAATTCAAACTCGGTGTAGTGATGGTAGGAGGGGACCCCACTACCTTTGTCTATGTGGTAGAGATAGGTCTCCTGGCTCATGGCGGATAGGAGGTGCAGGACGCAGGTGTAGATGCGGATTTTATCGTCACCATTGTCCTCCCAGGTGTAGTCCTGGATCACGTTAAGAAGCTCACGAACAAGAAACAAGACTCCATGCTCAGGATGATCCTGGTGGAAAGGCAAAAAAGGATAAATAATCTTAGAGATAAAGCAGGAAGGGGGTAAAAAAAAAAAAAAAAAACAAAATCACCAAGACAGAAGCTCAGATCCCTCCCATTTGCAGCTGGAGAAGAATTAAAGTGCCAGCTACTGTGCAGGGGCAAGCCCACTCATGAGCCTGGTTAAATAACACAGAGAAATCAGACAATGTTGTGAACCCCACCGATCAACATGCTGTAGTCGGGGGAAACAAGCTTTGAGAGCCTCCTTGGGTCCAAAGGATGAAGAGGCAAAGTCACCTGTCAGCTTAATGGCCTGTTTCCAAAATTACAGTCTCGTTCTCCTGTGTTTGTAGCAGTAAAAAGCCCTGCTCCTCCAACTACAAAAGCAAGATTGCGGGTCTTGTAGCAGATGGAACAGTGGAAGCCTCCTACTTTGGGTGAGCACCCCACCCCCCATGATCACTGTCACCACCAAAGGCACCAACTTTAAATATAGCATTGCTCTTTAGGGCGTTCAGTGACATTAACAGCTAAATTGAGGATGTTCTCTTGGGAGAGGAAAAACCCAAGAGACACTCAAGGGTTTAGGATGGTGTTTCTCAGATGCTGACATGAACCGAAGAATCATGTTGGATGCCACAGAGCTGGCTGCTTAGTTCACAGCTGGCAGGCTACCTGCAATTCTGCGGCTCTCCTGAACACACTCCACAGACCACCAGGAGTGAGTGCCCCATCGCCTTGCTGACCTGGTGGCTATACCTTTATGGTTCCCAGGACCAGGTGGAACCCTCAGAGTCCTGCCAGGACACAGCGGGCACACTCAAAATGGTTAAATGAGGATGGTTCCAGGAAGGATTATTTATAAAGATGTGGGCAGTGTGAAGGGAACTAGAGAGGAAAGGTGAGGCACCCAGAGTCTTGCTACAGCAGGGAGCCGCTACCACCCTCGGGCTGAAAGCCCACGGTAGGAAGGGGCATTATTGGCAAGTGCAAGACCTGCAGTTAGAGAAGGCCACCTAGCAGGAGCTGGAGCCTTGGGAAGAACAAAGCCATTGCCAAACCATGGCCCAGTGAGTGGGGGTAGGGGAAGGGCAGTAAACAGCTCAAACTTGTTCTCCTGCCTTCCCATCTGGTGGTCCCTGCTGGTGGCTGACCCAGTTGGAGACCAGAAGGAAGCCAGCCCAGGTAACGCAGTCCCCAGGGGCCTGTCTCCCACACAGATTTTGATGGAAGGGCAGAGGATACTACAGCCAGGAGCTCATGTGCTGAGGAGCTCTGGCCTCCCGGCCCTGCTGTTCCCTTGGACTGGAATCTTCATCTGCAAGAACTGGCCAGACGGGCTCCTCGACAGCCTCTAGATCCCATCTTACATGCTAGCTCCTCATCAAGATGTTCCCTGATCATCCATCCAGAGCCTTCTACACCCCCTCCCCCAGGCTCTCTCACAAATCAGCCTTGTTTTCTCAGAGCAGTTCTGAAGTGACTTTACTCCTTTAATGAACTACTTGGCATATCTCTTTCTTGGTTTACACTGATCTCTCTTTCATCCTAGCCCACAACCTCCAGGAGGACAGGTACTTCGTCTGTTGTAATTGCCAATTCACAGCCAGGACTGCCCAGGGGAACACATTGTGAACGGTGGCCTGTCCCTGATTCTAGGACAGTGCTGGGCCCCCGGCAAGCGCTCAGTAAATAATGTTGAATGGATTACGGTCTGAACACCTACGTACCAGGCGCTATGGTGGCTACAAAGACAAATAATAGCTAGCTTTTATGGTAGCTTTCCTATGTTCCTATCTAAGAAAGATACCATTTTGACCACACCCCAATTTCACAGATAGCTGCAGAGAGGTTAACAGGCCCGGTGGCAAACTGCTGGTACATGGAGGGAGCGGGGCCTGAGCTCTGGCAGGCTGGCTCCAGAGCACAGATTCCTGTTAAGACTATACTGATACTGCCTCTCTCTGACTTTACGGAGCTGGCTAACAGGGGGAAGCCAGGCATGTGAGCCAGATCTTTTGAATACCGGCATGGAGTATGAGAAATACTATAACCAAGATGGGTAGGAAATCACCACCACTAATCCAATGTGTGTATATACAGCAGTAACACTTGCAGTGGTGAGAAGGAGGGCGGAGGGGTGTGAGAGGTTCTGCAGAACTGTTAACATCTACAGGAATTTCTGCTTGGGTATCTGCAAGAAAGAGGACACATGATGCTCTAAAATCTGAATGCCCCAGACTAGAGTCATCCACATTGCCCATGCTGTGGTCTGCCTTCCATTTACACAGCCGCTCTCAGCTGGCAACTTACTCCTGCCTTTCTTTGCTACCAGCTGTTTCTAACTGGGCTATTTTGTTCTGCTATGTGGACGTACAAAAATATTTTTTATTTAAGGATCTGCTTTGGAAAGAAACAACATTCTGAATGGTCCAGTAACAATTTCAACGGCATTATCATAACTGTAGTGGGAGCCTATTCAGCAGCACACCTTCACAGAGGTGGGAGAAGGGGTAATGGAGACAAGAAGGTTTGTAGTAAGCCATTTCCATGAGTTTTTGCTCAGAATTGAAGAGATTATTTCCAACATTCTGTACCGGGAAAAATTTTTCCATATGATAGCCATGCTTCAGTGGTTGTGACATTTTTAAAATTGTACTTTGATGCTTTAGTGCCAGCAACTGAAGCAAGGCAAACACAGATTTATTTAAAAAAAAGAGGGGGGGAGGAGGAGGAGGAGGAAGAAGAAGAAGAAGAAGGAAGAAGGAAGAAGGAAGAAGAAGAAGAAATTGTACTTTGATGCTTTAGTGCCAGCAACTGAAGCAAGGCAAACACAGATTTATTAAAAAAAAAGAGGGGGGGGGAGGAGGAGGAAGAAGAAGAAGAAAGAAGAAAGAAGGAAGAAGGAAGGAAGAAGGAAGAAGAAGAAATTGTACTTTGATGCTTTAGTGCCAGCAACTGAAGCAAGGCAAACACAGATTTAAAAAAAAAAAAAAAAGGAGGAGGAGGGGGAGGGGGAGGAAGAAGGAAGAAAAAGAAGAAAAGAAGAAGAAGAAGAAGAAGAAGAAGAAGAAGAAGAAGAAGAAAGAAGAAAAGAAGAAGAAAGAAAAAAAGGGGCACCTGGGTGTCTGAGTCACTTAAGCGTCCAACTCTTGATCTTGGCTCAGGCCATGATCTCAGGGTCCTGGGATGGAGCCCTGTGTCCTGCTCCAGCAGGGAGTCTGCTTCAGGATTCTCTCTCTCCCTCTACTCCTTCCCCACCCTCTCTTTCTCTAAAATAAATCTTTTTTTTTCAAAGACATTTTTTATTTAAGAGAGAGAGAGGGCGCATGCACAGCTGGGGGGAGCTGCAGAGGGAGAGGGAGAAGCAGACACCCGGCTGAGCAGGGAGCCTGACATAGAGCTCAATCCCAGGACTCTCAGATCATGACCTGAAGTGAAGGCAGATGTTTAACCAACTGAGCCACCCAGGTGCCCCAATAAATAAATGAAGAAAGAGGAAGAGGAGGAGGACGAAGAAGATGAAGACGAAGACGACGACGACGAAGAGGATGACGATGACAAGACGACGACAAAGACAATGACGAAGACGACGACGAAGAAGAAAGGTCCTAGATTCAGGTGGCAATGCAAAATAGGGGAAGTTCCCCCCCCTCGCATCCCCACCCCCGGCATCCCTGCCAAGGCTGCCTCCCTGACAGAGCAAAGCCGTGCTTATGAGGCACCTCTCAAGGGGCATCTGGGGGTTCCACCCTCCGTCACAGCTGGACATGCAGGGGACCCGGCTTCCACTGTTCGCAATATCCCTTTGGGTCCCTGGTTCTGGTCTGCAGGAATCCCTCTATTAAATGTCATTCCTTGGCAGAAGGAATATTCTAGAAATGACTAACTTTCCAGAAGCGCCAAGATGACACTGAGCACAGACACCCTGGCTCTGAATTCTGTCTTGGCCTCTTACTAGCTGGTGACCCTGGGTAGGTCACCTCACCTCTCTGTGCCAGGGTCAGCGTCTGTGAAATGAAGGTAGTAACACACTCATTTGGATATTTGTGACCTGCTGGCTGGCTCACCGTAAGGGGTATGTACGTGCTGATGATAAATAATAAAAGTCCTTTAGAAAAGGAGTCAGGACACGGGGTGGGGTGAGGCGTGGCACTGAGAAGAGGGATGGGAAAGAGGGACACGGGGGGGGGGGGGCATGGAATGGGAGGTCATGATTAGCACGGGGATACGAAGCTGTCAGGAGCCAACTCCTGCCTGTCTCACGGGCTCAAGAGCCTTGTGTCCCTCAGCACCCCAGGCACAAGTCACCCAGGCTCTCTTCTGGTCCCTCCAAGGCACAGTGTGCCTTTCCACCTGAACACCTTTACCTATGCTGTGCCCTTGACCCAGAATGCCCTGTCGTCCTCCCCACCACCCCCAGACTCACGCACTGCCCTTAATTACCAGTCTTCCTTCCTGTGGATCTCAGGGAACTTCCCTGACCCACTTCCCTTCAAAACTGGGCTCTCGGGGGATCCCTGGGTGGCTCAGTGGTTTGGCGCCTGCCTTTGGCCCAGGGCGCGATCCTAGAGTCCCGGGATCAAGTCCCAGATCGGGCTCCCGGCATGGAGCCTGCTTCTCCCTCTGCCTGTGTCTCTGCCTCTCTCTCTCTCTCTCTCTCTCTCTCTCTCTCTCTCTCTCTATCTATATAATAAATAAATAAATAAATAAATAAATAAATCTTTTAAAAAAAATTGGGCTCTCAGAAGTCCCTGTAGTTCTTTGTGGGACTTTATACAACTATAGTTAAGTGGGTATTTATTTGCTTATGCTTAGTGTCTTCGTGAGTAGAGGACACACTTCTCCGGTTCACTCCTGAATTCCCAGATCCACAAGTATTTACAGCTCACTCGGCACGTGGGCCCCATGTCATGCTTACAGCCAGACCTCTTCACAAGGGTAAGAAGTAGAAAAAGACATTTCTGGACACCTGCTGTGTCCTAGGTGGTGAGTGCCAGAAAACTGATGGTAATAACATTTCCATTGCCTATAAATTTCAACTGAAGCAAAAGCAGGCCTCTAAAGTGGTAACACTGAACCTGTTCAATCAAGGCTACGTGTCCTTCCTACTAAATGTTAAGAGAAATGCATTAGTTCAATTATATAGAGAAGTCCATCTGCAGCCCACCAAGAGGCTAACCGAGGCCAGCACCACAGCAGAAGGCTTCAAAATACTACCAAACTGGCACTGTTTGCCTAAGAGAGGGCTGGCCTGGGGAGAGGTTTAGTTCTGCATTTATAAGTATGAATTAAGTGGGCCAGGTAGTTTATGTAGTCTAAAATGACTTCAATTTTTTTTCTCACCAAATAAAATGAGTCATAGCCTTTTAAAAGCCTTGAACACGGCTGGTGGGGATGCAAAATGGTACAGCCACTCTGGAAAACAGAATGGGGGGGGTTCTTCGAAAAATTAAAAATAGAGCTACCCTAGGAACCAGCAATCCCACCTCTGGGTACTTATCCAAAGAACTGAAATCAGGATTTCAAAGAGGTATTAGTATTCTCATGCTCCTTGCGGCCCTATTCATAGTAGCCAAGATGTGTAGATATCCTAAATTCCCAATGATGCATGGATAAAGGAAATGTGATATATAACAGATTAATATTCAGCCTTAAAAAAAAGGAAGTGTTGTCATTTATGTTGTCAAATACAACAACATGGAGGAACCTTGGAGGCCATTAAGTTGAATAAGCCAATCACAGAGACACAAATACAGCATGATTCTGTTTATGTTAAGGCCATCTGAAAGAGTTATGTTCAACGAGCCTAACAGTGGGATGTGACTGCCAGGGGCTGGGGGAGGAGGAAATGTGGAGTTACTCATCAATGGGCTTCACATTTCAATTAAGCAAGATGAAGGAACGCTAGAGATCTGCTGTGCAATATTGTCCCTGTACTCAGCAATACCATATCATATACTTAAAAATGTATTAGGAGGGTAGATCTGCATTTTAAATGTCTTTACAATGATAAAATTGAATTTTAAAAAATGGAACAATGTAAGTGGTGACAATGAAAGATAGGATCTGAAGCAGGTAAAAGTAGGATATGGGAGTTGTCTTCATGCTCACTCTACTCACAACAGACGTGCCTCATGTGTGGCCCATCCTATGGCCTGTGAGCCTCCTCAGCACTCTGCCTTGGTGGTTCAAGCTAAACATCTCCTGGCACCTCAGAGCCTGCCAGTAGTTAGCTATATCCCACAGGGGGGACGGAGTGCTGCTAAGGCTCAACCTTGAGTAGACAAAGTGCACTGTAAGTGTCTGAGGCTCACATGGTGCAGGACAGGTTCTGGAACAGCAAGGACCTGGGTTTAGATCCCAGCTCTGCTGCTCACTAGCTGTGGGTTGACTTAAGTGGAAAAGGCACAGTGACTCCTACCTTGCAGGGCTTGGGGGAGGAGTCTGAGAGACAGTGCTGAAGAAGGTCTTCAGCACAGGGCACTGGGTAAGCATCACAGGGGGCCTATTCTTCATGTTATTCTCTTTACTAACTCCAGCAAGAGCATGTCCAGCAATACCAGGAATAAGAAAATCTGCTGAGGCCAGGGAGACATTCCTATGAATGCCTAAGGGGCCAGGTAGGCAAGCAAAGTGGGTTTATAGGTCTGGGGTGCCCATGGGAATTGCAGAAACTGTACATGCCAACCTCCGCCCCGCCAACATCCTGCTCCTCCACAAAATGGGCCAGCTGCTCCCAAGCTGTGGCCAATTGGCCAGCTTGGAGAATGTGGGCCCCACATGGCAGGATCTGATTTTTCAAGAGGAACTAAAAAATCTGGGTTTTTCTGTGATCTACCAATTTTTAAATGTGGGTAATTCATTCCAAATGTTTTCCACTGTTATGTGGCCAAAAAGCCCGTCTACGGGCTGGATTCCACTCAGTGGTCATCAGTACAGAACCCCAGGGACAGAGCTTCTGGGTCCCAGAGAACTTTCAGGTCAATTGCTTCATTCAGCCTTACAGCAGCCCTGCCAGGTAGGCACTCTGATGTCATTGTAGAAAGGTGACAATTGAGGCCTTGAAGAGTTAGGAAATTTTCCCAAAGCCACAAGGCTGCTGAGTCCCTGGGTCAGACAGCACTCGAATTTCTGATTCCAAGCACAAGACTTTTGTAAAGGCTCCAAAGATTTTTAACATGAAGAAAACCCCATGTGCAGAAGGAAAATGCATCCCAATTAATCAAGGAACAATGACACCCATCGGCTGCCTCTTCAGAATCTCGGATTCCTTCTGGTCCCCTCACTTGACAATGAGACTATCCAAAAAAGAGAGAAACTGATTATCCAAAGGACTAAGAAGGTGATCTGAAGTCAGGGGTTGAGCTCTGCCTCCTGACCACACCATCCTCTCCCTGGAGGACTTGGAATCTCAACTGGGACACTTGAAAACTGAGTCACTTTTTGTCTCCTCAGCTCCTCTGAGAGATGATACACATGCCTGACAATTCACCCATTCAAATGCACACTTCAGTAATGGTTAGTGTATGCAGAGCTGTGCAACCATCACCACAATCAATTTAGAACCTTTCCATCACCCCAGAAAGGAACCCTGTACTCATGAGAGCAGAGTTACTTCCTTGTGTGAGTCCAAAGGGATGTTTCTCAAAGTGTAGTGCTAGGACTGTCCACACCTGAACTGCTCAGGAAGCTTTCAAAAATGCTGATTCAGGGATGCCTGGGTGGCTCAGCAGTTAGGTGTCGGCCTTCGGTTCAGGGCGTGATCCTGGAGTCCTGGGATCGAATCTCACATCGGGCTCCCGGCATGGTGTTCGCTTCTCCTGCCTGTGTCTCTGCCTCTCTCTCTTTCCATGTTTCTCATGAATAAATAAATAAAAACTTTTTAAAAAAGTTTTAAAAATGCTGATTCGGGGGCTGATCCCAACCTATTAAGGTGAACCTCAAAGGGAGACCCAAGAATCTGTATTTTAGCAAGGATCACTGATTCCTCTGGACATCTGGCTCTCCCAGAAGCCAATCTTGTTTTGTGCCTGGCCCTTGTCACAGCCTGGTGAAGGTTACGGGCTCCTCAGAATACAATTTGTAATGCAGAAAATAAAATACAGAAGACTACAAAGGAAACCAATTAAGCTAAACTTGTTGAGAGCCTGGGTGGGTTAGTTGTCTGCCTTCTGCTCGGGACATGATCTCGGGGTCCTGAGATCAAGCCCCACATTGGGTTCCCTGCTCAGCAAGTAGTCTGCTTCTTCCTCTCCCTCTGCCCATCCCCCTGCTTGTGCTCACTCCTCTGTCAAATAAATAAAACCTTTAAAAAATAATAAAATAAACCTGTCAAAATACTTGTTCAATGTATGTGTTATATTGTGTTCTATTACTTCTTGGTGAACATGATTAATCAAAATGCCCACTTGGTGAACATGTTACACCTGAAATGTGATATGAACATCATACAGCTGACTTCTTTGGTGATAAAGTCCCAGCTATGTGACTACTACTGTGGCTCATTGCCTGTAACAGTGGAGCAACAGGCTAAGTTTGACTGAGATTTGTAAAATTAATGGTTTTGTTTTTTTTTCCCCCTCATCTAAATCCATGGTTGCCCTGCCAGACCCTCAGGTAGTAAGCAGACTCTGAGTTAAGAACTCTGCTGGGTGCGGGTCCTGGTGCTGGGTCTGGAGAGAGGCCTCAATTTGGCCCAAGCCTCACGGCTCATCAGCATGTTCCACAAGAAACCCCAGCATCCTTCCAACAATGTCCTCTTTGACCTCAGCTACCTAGTTTTGGCTTCTAGTACTTACAATCAAAAGAACATCACCGTCACCTTTTACAGGGCTGAGTACGTGCCAACTGTTCTAACCACGTATGTATATTCACTCACTTCAACCTCACAACAACCCAGAGATATAGACACTATTATTTTATAGATGAGAAAACTGCAGCCAGTCATGTGATGTAACTGCCTGAGCCTGCAGAGCTGGAAGGCAGGGGAGCAGAGATTCCACCCCAGACATCTTGGTCCCAAGACCTGAGCCCTTAACGACTAAATGGCACCCCCTTGACTGTATAGAGAACCTCCACTAATATACCCCAGACCTAAGATGAATGGAAAATACCCTAATTTAGTAGCATCTGGCTGGCTTGGTCAATAGAGCATGAGACTCTTGATCTCAAGCTCTTGAGTTCAAGCCCTGCATTGAGGGAAGAGATTACTTAATGAAAAAAAGTTAAAAAAAAAAATACATTGAGTAATTCAAACATCTGACTAGAAAACCAACATGCAGATACAGATAGAACATCCCTGCACTTTTAGGGCTGAGAATGAATATAAAGCAGATCAAAGAAGGACATCACCTTCTTTTTGCTCTTCTGGCGAAACGTACCGGAACTATTAATAAAGTAGAAAAGAAATTGCAGAGGAATTCCAGAAGGAATGATTCCGATGGTCGCATCTTTCCATCAATATTAATCATCTTTGGAACTTCTGGAATGAGGCTAATAGCGGCTTTGAAAAAGGCATCAGCTGCAAGACAGGAGAACAGTCTGTGTTTGAGAGGTCTGAAACATCCAGGTTCTGCTTTCTTCTTCAAGGGGCCTGCAGGGGTGTCCGGAGTGTCCCGTGCAAGTCAGGCCATGCTGAGGGCCCCATAGCACAAGCAGGCCTTACAAGAGGGTCTCTGCAACCCTAACCAATTCGTGCAACATTCAGGGCAGAGGGCACTGCCGTGGCTTCCCATCTCCCCCCTCTCCCTCCTTCCTTCACTGAACAGCTCACCTCGAAGAGCCTCACACTGGCTTGAATAATTAAGTGAAATAAGCAAGCGGCAAATTTTTTATGAAAGCCAGAGATCATAGCTACAGGGCCTAGGGGCTCAGCCCAGACCAGTTGCCCAGACCCTTGGATGCACCATGTGAGCGCAGTCACCAAGCCCACTTCAGAGCTGGGAACTAGGGTGCGGAGGGACCAGTGCCTGGTCCTATATCAGGGTCCTGGGACCACTGCGGTTCTCGCACTGGAGGGTGTGGGGCTGGGGGAGGCACAAACTCTGGTCTGCCTGCGTTTATGCTGTAGCGCACCCTGTATGTTAAACATCTGAAGGAATCCACACGTGCACACACATGCACACATACACACAGCTTTAGAGACTTCTGACTAGGTGATTAGTTCCAGAGAATCACCTGGGAGAGAAATTTTTCTTTTTTTTTTTTAAAGATTTTTTTATTCATGAGAGACACAGAGAGAGAGGCAGAGACACAGGCAGAGGGAGAAGCAGGCTCCCTGTGGGTAGCCCGACACGGGACTTGATCCCAGGACCCCGGGATTACACCCTAAGCCAAAGGCAGACGCTCAACCACTGAGCCACCCAGGTGCCCCAAGAGGAAGATATTTTAAAAAAATATTTAGTGTTCTGTCAAGAAGACCTCAAAGGGTGAGGGTAAGCAAGGCAAGGGGAGAAGAAGAGGAAGAGGGGGAAGGGGAGAGGAAGAGCTGGGAGGGACGGAGCACTGGGAGGACGAGACGGGAAGGAATGGATGGGGAGAGAAGGACAGGAGGTGGGGGCTGAGCTGGAGACGGAAAGAGTTCTTTCTAGAACTGCCAAAGTATCCGCCATGAGAAAAGGCCTCAAGGTCAAAACAGATGAACACTGACCTGACAAGTGAAATCTTAAACTACCCAACAAGATCAAACGTTTGCATGGTCTAAATAAATATACTTCCACGCTGAAACGACTTGCAGTGATGCGGAGAGGACGCAGCACTGGCACACAGCATCCTGAACTCACACCGGAACCCCATCCAGCACCCAGAGGGGCAAAGGCAACAACGAATGCCTGCCCTCCAGGAACAAAGGCCCGCACTTAATGAGAAGAGTATGTGTCTGCAGCTGGAGAGCTGGGCCTTTTTCGCCTTTTCTTCAAAGCAAAAAAAAAAAAAAAGACAGCACCATGATTAAGGAAAGACAGCTCTCTCAGAGGCTTTCCAGAAACTTCCTTCCAAGGCTTTCTCTCCCAAACTGAACTCATAACCTTAACCACATTCACCTAAGCAAATTCATGAAGCACCAGCTTCACCAGCGGTGAACAGGCACCTTGGGCAACAGAGAATAGGGGGTGGGAGTCAACATCCCTCAGTAGGGTGTGAGGCCCATGTGATCACACTACTTCTATTTAACACCTACTTACAGGTGTTGTGTTGTCCTTGGGTCTGGGTTGGGGGTCAGGGAGGGGAGGTGGCCCTTTGGTCTGGGGGTTGGGGAGGAGGCACACAAAGCAGTCGATGTTGATCTTATGGGACAGAAAGAGACTACATACAGGGCTTCTGGGATGACACCTGATGTGGACTCTGGCAGACAGGGGCAGAAGGTGCAGGGTCTTGTGTCTCAGAGACAGTAGTAAAAGTCAGTGTCTGTACCACTGAGACTCCTAGGTCTATGGGAAGGTACAATCATCTCCGTGCCCACAGGAGGAAACAAGCTCAAAAAGTGAGTGGCCAGGTTAAAGCAGCCCAGGGATGGTCAAGGGCATTGCCCATGCTGAGCAGTACGATCAAATCTGCATTAAAAAAAAAAAAAAAAAAAACATAGCCTGCAAATCATAGATCTGATAAGGGGTTTATGTCTAGAATATATAAAGAAGTTCTCCAACAACAGCACAAGTAACCAGGTTAACAATGAGCAAAGGGCCTGAACAGACGTTTCTCCAAAGCAAATACACAAATGGCCAATAAGCACATGAAAAGATGCGGGACATCAATAATCATTAGAAAAATCCAAATCAAAACCACAGTGAGATTTCATCACCGGGAGATAACATCAGGATGGGCACCATGAAAAAAAAAATCAGGGAATAAGAAGCATTGGCAAACACGTAGAGAAACTGGAATCCTGATGCACTGCTGGTGGGAACGTAAAATTGGTGGTCCCTCAAAAACTGGAACTAGAATTACCACCTGACCCTGTAATTTCACTTCCAGGAGTACGTTCCAAAAAAATGAAAGCAGTGACTTGAACAGATAGGTGTGCGTGAATGTTCCTGGAAGCACTATTCGCCATAGCCAAGAGGTAGCAAAATCCTAGTGTCCATCAACAGATGAATGGAAAAGCAAAATGTGGACCACACACACAATGGAGTATTATTCAGCCTTAAAAGGAAGAAAACTGCAACACATGCTACAACACAGATGCATCTATCCTAAAAATATCATATTAAGTGAAACAGGTCAGACAAAAGGACAAATACATAGGATTTCGCTGTCATGAGGCAGAGTCATCAAATTTGGAGAGCAGAGAGCAGAATGGGGAGAGGGAAATAGTTATTGTTTAATGAATATACTTTTAATTTGGTTTGGGATGATGAAAAAGTTCTGGAAGTGGAAAGGGGTGAGGGTTACATGGCATTGTGAATGTACCTAAAGCTAACGAATTGCATACTGAAAAATGCTTACAGTGATACATTTATGTCACTGATATGTAACCACACTACACGAAAAAGAAACAGAGCTAAATCTACCCCTGACATTAACCCCCCTGTAAGCTCAGACAGGCCTAGACTCCACCAGGTCTGGCTGTCCTCCTTCTGCAGGAAAAGCTCTCTGTCCCCATGGCTCTATAGGAATTGCTTTCTGGAGAAATCATTAAGTCCATAGTGAACAAGGTGAAGAGCATCTCTCAGCGGAAACGAAAATTCTGCTAAGAACTTGAAAGACCATTTATTTATTCTATTTATGTGTTTGTTACCAAGTGGCCCCGAGAAAAGTGCCTATTATTATGCCTCATTAAAGAGGGAGCAGCTTTGTGCTCTGTTCCTCACAAATGCCCCACTCAGTTCCCATTCCAAAGGAGAGAGCTAAAATAAACGGTTATTTAGGGGTTGGGGCAGGCAATGTTCCAGAGTGTTCCAAAGAGATTTTTTATTTCTATCCTCAGAAGACTTACCCCATATAAAAAATCTTATCTAGGAGACATCTCAATTTTGACTTAGTAATTAGGGCTCAAATCCTATGGTATACGAAATGAGTTTTTGCTCCTGGAGTTCAGAATAATCACATCAATACCATAGAAGAGTTTTGTGTCTATTAAAAGCCCTGGAAGACCATCCAAGATAAAATGGGCTAGATATGTTTTGTTTTTAAAGATTTATTTATTTTAGAGAGAGAATACGCAAGAGAAGAGGGAGGGAGGACAGGAGGAGGGAGAGCCAGAGAGAGTATGTGAGCATGTGTGCATCTCTAGCAAATTCCCCACTGAGTGCAGAGCCAGACATAGGGCTCAATCTTATCACCTGAGCCAAAATCAAGAGTCAGATGCTTAACCAACTAAGCCGCCCAGGTGCCTCTTGTTTTTTGTTTGTTTTTGTTTTAAGACATACAGAGAAAGGAGAATCAGATTCCAATCCATAAAGACTATTATTCCTGTTTCACTGGGGGAAGGAAAACAAGAGCATGTACCAGATTCCCTATGCTGTATCTTTTTCTACCTGAATATTCTGAGGTTCCATGGAAGTAGGTTTCTTATCCATATCCCACTTAAAAAAAAAAAAAAAAAGGAAAGAAAGAAAACCAAAAATACCACTCAGGCCTGGCTGGCCCCACCCTAGAGTGCACTCTGTTGGAGATCCTACTTGGGGTGCTGACTCCTCTACCGAGTGGCATTCTGTTGTTTCCATATAGTCATCAACATGTCCTCTAGCACTGCTGGCCACTGGGTGAGGGCAAACACAGCCATCATCCCTGCTCACAGAAAGAGGGACTGCACGACTCTCAGAGCCAGGAATTTAAATTGCTTTATCACAAGAATCATCAGAAGCCTTGCTAAAAATACAGGTTCCCAGACCCAATATTGCCGATGGAAATGTATTATGGTACAGTCACACTGCAGGACCTGGCAGTTCCTCCAACTGTAGATGGATGCTACAAACACACATACACATACAGGCTACGATATGGATCAACCTTGAAATCATTAAAGCTAAATGAAAGGAGTCAATCATAAAAGACCCGTATTATAAGACTGCATTTATATGAAATAGTAAGAATAGGCAAATCCATAGAAACAAAGAGAAGACTGGTACCTGCCTGGAGCTTGGAAGAGAGGGAACAGGGAGTGACTACTTAATGGATTGAGGGTTTCCTCTCAGGGTGATGAAAATATTCTGGAATTAGTGATGAAAGTTGCACAACTCTGTGAATGTCCTAAAACCCACTGAATTATACTCTTCTTGATAGAGGGTGGATTTTATGATACACAGATCAATCAGATCTCACTAAGCTGTTATTTAAGAAATATATGTGAATTCCCAGATGCCACCTTAAATGTATTGAACACACTACCATGAGACTTGGAAATCTAACTTAAAAAAAAAAAAAAAAAAAAAAAAACCCTGAATGGGTAACAGAGCTACAGGATTCAAAATTCCAAAGGTAACATTCTTTCTCACTCCCATTTCCCACCATCCAATTACCCTTTCCTGAGGCAGAGAATTTAACTGCTGCTTGACACCATTTTGCAACTCCCTTCACCCCTAC